CAGTCCACGAACGGGAGCGCGTCGCTCTGCAGCAGCTGAGGAGAACAGTGCCTAGCGCGAGGGCTTGCCAAAAAAAGCCCCTTAGTCCTGTCCCTCCCGGGTCAGCCCGGCAAAGGGCCCGGTTCCCTCCTTGCACACACCTCCCGGGGCGGAGGGGCATCCACCCCGAGGGATCCGGGGTGCCCATTCACAGACTCCAGTTGGCCTCTTCACGTGGAGATTTTATAGTCCTACTGAGCTCCCCGACTATGTGTAACCCTGCTTTCCCCCACAATACTTTCCGGTCTTTATATCACTTTCTACTTACAAGGGTCTTATTTATAACAAAGAATTTTTTAGACTGGATGCTTCATTTTATTAACTGTTTCAATATGAAGTGCAGGACGGCCGCACTGAGATACACAGCACTGTGAACGCTGCTCTGCTAAATGGCTCTGGGCCACAGTAGGCAAATCGAACTCATCAGGCATCCAAGGTAGATCTCATGTGCTCAGGGCACTGGAGGGTCGAAGTGGAGGCAGAGGAGGGACAGTGCTGAGCTGCCAACGGCGTCCGAGCCGGTGGAACGCGCAAACCCAACTGCTTGCCCGCCGCCCAGTGCATCTCCCATGTCTTGCAGCCTGCCTGCAAAATCTTTAACCACTTCTCTTTGATAATTATTCAATTACAGAATGTATCTGATGACTTTTGTTACCAAAAACTGACTTCCCTTTCTGCCGACTCAGCTTAGCTCTCTCTGAATGTACATCCAGAGCTTACTGGGTTTAAAAACAATGTGAATTGTCCCAGCTTTTTGCTAGTCGAATGTTCTATCAAACAGATGCCATCTGAGTAGGAAGCCAAGCCACAATCCATCCTGTGAAGTCACCAAGCCACATCACAAAATAATTTCTGCAAATTTGGATATGGCCTTTGCAAAATTCAGCTTTCCTCTAAGTCCACAACCAAGGCATGATCTGTACATTTTCCGATGCTGACGAGATGTTCACATTTTCTTATGTGTAGATAGTGTAAAACAGAGGCGAATGTAAATGTTCAACATAAAAAGTGGATATATAAAATTGAAAGTTATTTATTTATGTAGAGGAAAAAAAGTGTCTGGAGGGACTGGAACCTTCAGGGTTTATTAATATTTTAAAATGTAGCTTTTTGTTTCAGGCATTATGTACAAAGCAATTATTTTATGGACCAAGTTTAATGTAACTGTCAATGAATGCAGAAGTGCAATATTATACTCACCTCTCCATCACTTCATGTTTTAAACAGCTACTAACCAGTTAGACTGACAATCGTAGCACCTCCATCTTCATCCTTTGTTGAGCTTCTTGACACTTGCCAGGGTCCTTTCCCTGGCCCCCCTATCTGTTGCCATTGTACGGATCCAACACGGAGAAGCAATTGTAGAGCAGGACCTTTACTGCTGCAATAATACCAGATGAGGTGGGTGTAGTTACCAGGAAATATGCCAGTAAGTTTTTCTCCACCGATTCAGTCCGTCATAGTCTACATCAGTCTATCCTCAGCCGCCCCCATCTGGCACTCACCTGTCTGAAGCAAAGATCAACGTGCTACTCACTCAAAAGAACAATAGCAATAGTTTAACTCTGTGTTTATAACCTGTTTGTTCCGAGCTGTTTTGGAGAGCAATGCATGTGACCCGATGCCTTTCGACGTGTATGGAAGAGGATCCATTTGGATGCAGTGAGGGAAAGATGAATGTATATTCCATCCTTACTAAAGGGGCACTGTCAGGTTAAAACCCTAATTTATCTTTGTTACAAGTAACTTGTTTGCGTTGAAATGAAAAAATACGAAGTTTCTTGTACTCCTCCCTATCGCTGTTGTCTGGGCAGCCATCGGTGTGACCGGTGACAGTCGCGCTGCTTCTGCTGCAGCCCACGTCCTGGTCTCGCACACTAGCACAATACAGCCCGTGCTGCGCAAGCTGCCTCAGCTTTTTGTGTTTTTTTTTTTTAATTGTTTCCATGGGAATCAAACTCTGCTGCGGAGCTCAGATTTTTTATAAAAAGCAGCTTTTTGTATTACCACACTATTGGGCCAGACTTTCTACCTGACGCTGTCCCTTTAAAGTCTTTTAAAAATAAAAAGAGGCGCCCATGCATTCCCTCTGAGTTGTTTTCCTGGGTTTGCTAGATCAGTCAGTCAGATGAGGCAAAATTCTAATACCAAAAACGTTTACAGTGTCCGATACGCGAGCCGAGAGCAGTAACTAGCCAAAGGGTTACTAACAAACTCCCGCTCCGCCCAGCAGCCGCCGTGCTTGCTGTAGCAGCCCCTTCTTCAGGTATCGCCACTGTTTGCTGCATTTCCTATTAGTTCTAGAAGCCTTACGGTCCCCTCCCTGTCCTCAGCACCCCTCTGCCTGTTGATACCCTCGACTGTCAATTTTATATTCCAACTATGTTAGTTATATTTTATTTATAAAAAATTGCTTTAGGGGTAACAGACGCGTGTGGGGAACCACCGGAGGGCATGCCCGAGGGC